TGGAATTTCTGCTTTTAAAGCKWGCAACTTATTGGTTAAATAGGAGTGCTTTTTATAAAAACACCATTTTGTTTACAAAGATGCAGCTTCTTTTCCTTTGATCTTGTCCCATGAGRAACATCTTGTCCCAGTATCATATGCATATATTGGAAAATGTGAAAATTCTTGGATACCAGAAGAGCATTCTTAAATGCAGAGAGAACCATTCTTGCATCACAGTGGAAATTTGATGTCCTGTGTTAATAAGGATTCTGCAAGAGGCAGTGCAGCTTGAACAATCAAATCAAAACAAAGCAAAAGAATGTGCAGGATCTTCCTTTTCACCACAGCTAAAGCTTGCTTGGAATTAGGTTTGARTAAGGCTGCTCCAGCCTGGATTGTRGCTGGAGTGAGCAWTTCAGCAGTTCAGTTTGCATCTCTACCAATGGAAGTAAAAAGAGTGATGTAGGGCCTTAAAATGTATTGCAACTTTTTTTTTGATTTAGAGAATTGGACTGAACTTGAAATCCCACATAGATTTTCCTCGAAGAGGACAAATGGAGACAGGTATTTCTTTAATGCAATGCTGTTCATTTACAAAGGATGTTTACAAAGATTTTTTCTTTTCCTCCCTCTGGTCTTAGTAAGACTATTTTGTTTTGAACACAGGTTAGTCTCTTCCTTTGGTAATTTCCGACACGGCTGTTTTCCATTTCAATTTTTAAAATCATGCTTTTGTGGCCATCTTTGAGACATTTGTGCTTGTGATGGGTTTTGAGATTTCTGCTTTTTGCACGCACACACAGACACACACAACCTGCATAACTGCTGCATTGGGTGTGAGAATCTCAGTAAGTGCCTGGACCATCTGGCCGAGCCACARGAGTGCACATTTGCATGTGGTCTGGCTCCTGGGTGGTATTTTTGCATTGTTTCAGCTATCACTAGACAAAGGGGCATTTAATTGTGTCTTCAATGAGCCTGAACAGGAGACAGCTACGATACCCAAGAGCTTCACTGGGAAAGTAGGGCTGCCCAGCCCCCACTCCTGCGAYGTGGAGAAGCAAAATGAGGAGGGGGGATCTGGGCTAAGGTGCTCTCTTAATGAAGTAATGYCACATTCAGTGGCCGTTTTCTCCCTAAGCAGCAGCTGTCTCAGCTGCCAGCTGCTCTGGCTTTTCTGCAGCTGCTCTCTGACCCATGAGACATAGCTGACCTCTCCTTTTGCCCTTGTTTGCTGCCCTCATGTACTCCCAGGCTTGCAGCACTCTGGAGAAGTTGGGAGGACAGCAGGAATACAGTGTGGACATAAATCAGGGATCCTGAATGGGCTATAAAATTTGTGACTCATGTGCCTCTGTGTGTGCGTTGGTCTGTAACACAGGGGGATAGGCAGCCAGAGAGGGACACAAAAAGCCTGACAGAGAAAAAASAGCTCTGCTCAGGGAAGGCCATAGCAAAGGTCAGTGAACTTCCCCCGTGAAAAAGAGTGTGCCACCAGACAATGGGAAATGTAAGTGGATAGACCTCTGGGAGGCAGGAGTCGGTTCACTTARTAAAACAGAACATCAAGGCCAAACTGGAAAACAAAAGCATTGAAAAACCACAGTAACCACATCATTTTTACTATGGGGATGATGATATAGGGCTGTTTAAAAATCATTTAAACAGAAAATCCCAGGCCAGATCTCTCAGAGTTTGTTATTCTAGACTGATCTACAATTGCAATCTGTGCTCTTTCCAAAGACTGTGGAGTACAAGTACACAAGTTTGCTAATTCCTCAATTACGRGGCTTGCTGTTCATTAAATTACACATAAATTGTTTAATTAATACATGCGTCCTTGGCTTCTCTAAGGAAGCAGGGAAACAGCATGCCTTTAATTTGCACTTCAGAAATACAATAAATAAATGAAATGGAATAACAGAAGGAACCCTGTCTACTAGTCAGAGCAGTTCTCTTTTTTCCTTACATGTCTCCTTGCTGACCACTACAAAATGAGCACAAGCACATACTGACATTGTCCCAGTCAGGATGAAAGACAAAACTAGGACTAAATTGTGAATTATATTCAGATGTGAATTTAAATATGAATTAGACACTCATAAAATTTAGTAAAGTATCCTAAATTATTAATAATGATTGTACTGAAATCTCATCAAGGAGCAGATGATGACATTTGAGCAGGAGACACTGGACTAGATCAACAAGTATGCTTCAGGTTTTTTTATACCATGYTCGTGACAAGTACTTGCAAACCCTGCTTAACCAGGTAGATGTCTAAAACTCCTTGGGGTTCTTTAAATGGAACAAAGAGGCAACTAAAGTGTATGAAGGTACCTGTACTGCTTTGCTTGATAGCTTCATTTGTCGGTTGCTTGGAAAAGAAGCACTGACTTTTCGCAGTACAACACCTGCTAGCAACATAGGTCATTTAGGAGTGATTCTGCTCCTTCAGTAACATTTTGCTTTAAGAAGGTTAAAAGAAGCACTTAATGATGTGTCCTTCAAAGATATTTGTTGATGTTGGTTGGCAGCTGGTTGCCTGTCTTCAGAATTTGGATGWAAATGCTGTCACAGCATGAGCTGCMTGAATCAGTACACAGCTCTTTTCATTTGTTTAAGAAAATAATGATTGTAATCTTTTCATTTTGCAGGCATCCTAGAAACATTCTTAATTGGCCCTGGCAGTGAGTTCACATTTTCTCCAAATGGTAGGCTGATACGAGTATTGCCAGTACTGGAGAAATTAAGGGAAAAGAACTGTCAGGAACACCTGCAACTACACTTCAGTAATTTCATGGCATCAAATTTCTTTAGTTAATTTGCCTTGCTAAGTGAAAGTGCTTCTCAYACAGCAAATCTGGATCATATACTTTGCTATCTGTTGCATTTGTCCTGTAGTCAGCTGAGCTACTTAGCCACTTTTTGCCAATTAACACCATCATAAGGCATCATACATATTTACATGAATACACTTGTTCTGAAGAAAATAGGATGTACGCTTTTCTGTTCTGGAAAAGCAGAAATTTCCACTTAACCACTAAGCCTAGGAGATAAAGAATTGTTATTATTATTATTCTTTATTAAAGATGGGGATAGAAGACCACGGGGAATAAGACAATTGCAGAAAATACTGAGATTATAGTTTGGATTTTGAATTATGCTTTCTGGGGAGTTATCTGGATGCTAGGAAATCAGGAGAATATTTTGTGTACTAAACTCAGGATAAGGATTGGCACAATTGAATTTAAATCAATGGCACTGAAGTAGAAAGACAGAATATCATCCTGCAAAGTTTTAACTGAAATCATAGTCTGTTCTTGCCAGCTAGTGGGAAGTCAGCTGAAATTTAAATGGGAGTGGGAACCAAGCACAAATGGCTCGACCTTGCAGATCAGTGCTCTGATGTGTTTTGTAGCTATTTTCCCACTGAACAGGCATCTCCCCATGCTCTTTTTGAATGCAAATGCCTATTAACACGAAGCAGTAAAAAAACATCTTGCAGTGATATTAAGTTAGAGATGTTTTGGTACACAGGACAGTGATCATTCTTCTGTGATACTATTGAGACTGCACCTGAAATCCTGTGTTCAGTTTTGGGCCCGTCACTGTAAGAATGACATTGAGGTGCTGGAGTGTGTCCAGAGAAGGGCAGTGGGGTGGGGAAGGATCTGGAGCACAAGTCCYGTGAGGAGCAGCTGAGAGAGCCATGGGTGTTTAGCCTGGAGAAAAGGAGGYTCAGGGAGGRCCTTACCATTCTATAACTCCCTGACAGGAGGGTGTAGCCAGGYGGGGTTTGGCCTCTCCTTCAGGCAACCAATGACAAGAGAARGGGAAATGRCCTCAGGCTGYGCCAGRGGAGGTTCAGATTGGGTATCAGGAAAACTTCCTTCATGGAAARGGTTGTAAAGYATTAGAACAGGCTGCCCAGGGAGGTGGTAYAGTCAACATCCCTGGAAGTGTTCAAAAAATGTGGATATGGCACTTGAGGATGTGGTTTAGTGGTGAACATGGTGGTGGTGCTGTGTTGATGGTTGGACTTGATGACCTTAGGAGGTCTTTTCCAACCTTAACAACTCTRCTGGCACGAGGTTTGACAACAATACTCAGACAACATAAGCACAGTCAGCTTTACAGAACAAGTGGTATATTTTTTCACGGCTAASCCATGCAAATAGGAGAAATATAATATGTGCATTAATCACATTTATTTTTATGACAGATCACTGGCTTCCAATTTTTCTCTTTCCAGGAAGAAAATCAGCATCCTTCATGTGACAATGCCACCTTGACTCTGCAGCCTATTTTTCTAATTTTAGTTACTGCCTTACTGAATATTGAATTTTTGATGGTTTCACCTGCGCTAAAAATAAAGAGTGCAACAATTGTTATAAACCACACAGACAGACCCATATACCACAGCCTTCTTAATAAAGAAGATATGATGAAAACCGCAGGAAGCGGTTGAAAATGATGAAAACCACGGGAAGCTCTTCACGAAGTTATGGGGATTGGAGGGGACSTCGGGAGATCATCCAGGCCAACCTCTCTGCCAAGGCAGGGTCACCCAGAGCAGGGGACACAGGAATGCATCCMGGTGGTTTTGGAAAGTCTCCAGACAGGGAGGCCGTGACCTCCCCGGGCAGCCTGTTCCAGGGCTCTGCCACCCTCAATCTAAAGTGTTGAGGGGAAACAACTTCTGCTTTAGTTTATGGCCATTGCTCCTCATCCCGTCACGGGCACCACTGAGGTGCGGCACCATCCTCTTGACACCCACCTTTGAGACATTTGTGAGATCCGCTCTCTGTTCTCCGGGCTGAACACGCGCTTTACTGTGAGGGGGCCGAGGCGCTGGCGCACGTCACCCAGCGAAGCTGCGGCTGCCCCACCGCGGGCAGCGTCCAACGCCGGGCTGGATGGAGATTTGAGCCCTCGGAGCCTCCGCCCTCTCCCCCGCCCTCCTTCCCCCAGCCCGTCCCTCCCTCCCTCAGCCCGTCCCTCCCTCCGTCCTTCTCTCCCAGCCCGCCCCAGCCGGCGGCAGCTCCGGGCGGCGGCTCCTCCCCCGTGGCCGCCCGGCAGCATGGCGGCGGCGGTGGAGACCCGCAGAGTCTGCGAGACCGCCGGCTGCAGCAGCGAGGCCAAGCTGCAGTGCCCCACCTGCCTCAAGCTGGGCATCCAGGGTTCCTACTTCTGCTCCCAGGTGAGCTTCCCCGCGGCCCGGCCCCTCGCACCGCGCCCCGGGCGTGCGGCGGGCTCAGGATGCAGCTCCCCGCGCCGGCTCCTGGCCGCCCGGGCCCGGCCCGGTGTGCCCGGCTCTGCCTCCCTGCCCGCCCGCTCCCGGCCGGCCTCGGGCASCAGGAACCCCGCACCGAGTTCCCCCTCGGTTCCTCGGGTGTTGGAGCCGGGCTGGCGGCCCCGGGCGGGGCGGGAGCCCCATTTCTCCTCGTGGCCGCGGGCGATGCGGGACCTCGGCGGCACCAAACSGCGACGGGAGCGTTCGTGAGAGGGTGCACGGATGTTCCTCTGCCTGAAGGTGTGGGTGGTCCGTATGCCCGCTTACAAATAAAGGCTTAGTGGGACAAAGTGAGATGTGCTCATCAAATTCCAGCGGGTGCTTTTCTCTGCCGGCATCAGCTCTGGAGTTGCTTGGCTTTGATAGACGCCGAGAGACTTGTTGCTCTGAAAACACATTTTAAGTTATGAGTGTCTGTGAAAATTATTTGATACTTTTCTCATTTTTTTTAAATTTCCTTTTCATTCCTAACTTCTTTTTTTTCCCCACTCTGTCTTTTGATGTTCTGCTCTGAGGGTGCCAAACAGGAAGGTGCAGGTTAGGCCACATGTCATAGAGCAGGCAGCTCCCACGTATGAATGAGAGAACTGAAGGTGTTATGTAGGCCTCGGCCACCCTCACCTGTTACCACAGCGCTAATAGAATGGTTCCTCAGTWGAAAGAASTGTCTGTTGACTGTTSAGKGGGTTTTTTTGTTTGTGGGATTTGTTTAGTTTCTTTAATTAACTTCAAAATGTTCAGTGAAATACACAGCCTAATCCCTTGAACYTTTCGTATGTGTAATTTCTGTCAAAATCAGTGAGAATATATRTGTTTAGTTCAGAGATTAACACTGAACTTTCTTGTCACAACTACAATTGCAGAGTGAAATCGTTGAGTTTCTGTAGGTAAACGTAAGAAAATAATTTTGTCACATCATCTAGATTAATTTGTTAATTGGGAAGAGKTTTTTTTCTGAGTCAGGTTGTAAGATGATAGTTATGGTGTGCATAAGACTAGGGGAGAACTTCCCACATGCTTGTGACACACCCACTGCATGGTTTCTGGTACTTTCCCCTGAAGTCTTTGTGCCGTGTGCTGGGAGTTGATGCCAAATTAGAGCAACTGCAACTCCCAGATTGTTCTGACAATTCTGTATTTCTAGTTCCCACGTGGTGCTTGTGGTTAGCTTCTAGGATTTGCTYTGCATTTCACTGCATGTTTTGGCATGTCTGATACAAAACTCATCATAGATGCATCACTGGTATATACAAATATTAGTTGGTGATGACAAAACCTTTGTTCAGAGACCAAACAGGCCAATGTGAGGAGTTCTAGTTACATCTTCACTCCTTTTTCCCATTCCTAATTCAGCTAATTCCATACAGGATGCAGAGATTCTTCTTGTCTATATACTAGACAAGAAATATCTGCCACTGTTGTTAGGTRAAAGGGGAGTTACTGGAAATACTTCCTAGCTTGTTGAAGTAGGCTGCTGGATAACTGACTACATGCTTGTAAAGCTGTCCTGTCGAGAAAATGACTTGACTGGGACTCCCAGTCATCTTACTTCTGAGTGACCTGGGGCGTGTTGTGCCTCGCTGTCCCGATCAGGAATGTAGGTAAGCTCACTGAAGGTGCTTCAGCGGTTTTGGGGCCATGTGTTACAGAGAAGGACATTGATGACAGCCTGTTTCAAAGACGAGCAAAAGATGTCATGCACTAAGAGCAGAGTCCCCGTGCTCGGCCTGTATCCAGGACCTTTGTTTTCCCATCAGTACCCTCTGTGGCCCAGCACAGAGCTGCCTGAGGCTCCAGCTCTCCTCTTCACCTGGTGTGTGCCATGGAGAAGACTCGCTGCAGTCCTGCCCTGGTGTCTGGTGAGATGATCAGGAGGGTAGGTGAGGTGCTGCTGACAACCTGGCTGTCCCTTCAGATGAGCATATGACAGGTGAAGAACTGTTATTTTCCCTGAACTTCCAGCAAGTTTCAGCTGACAGCAGCGGACTGGTTAGCATGTGTGAAAATTTTCCAGAGTTCTCTCTTTGGTAGTTTTCTTTCCATTCTGGTCTTACATGCATAAATAACTCGTAGATAAGCTACTGAGTGGACCTAGGATGTTATTCCACCTCACAGCACAGCCTGTGTTGTAGCTAGCTTGGGGCTACTCCCTTTCTCCAAGGATATGCGCTTCTACCCTTTTCCTTAAGCTGTTCCTGATTCCTTGGTGAGCCACTGCTGAGGTCTTCAGGTTTTTTTTTAATGGAGCAAGAGCAGTTGCATTAATTTTTTTTTTTTTTTTTGCTTGTTTAGCTCCCCTAAGCTGTGCACTCCAGGGCCATGAAACACTTCAGGAGTGTGCTGCTGAAGAGCAGGCTTGCCCACTGTGGCCTGGTTTGGTAAAGTCAGCCTGTCCTTACGGAATGCAGTGGTGTCAGCCAGACGTGTGGGCACTTACTTGGGGCTGATTGGGAGCAACAAACTATTTGTTGTCTCCTTGACAAGTAAATGCATCTGTACAGATGTGGACAACAGGTTAATTAATCTGCTTGGAAGCCTACAATGACTTTTTCATATAGCCAGAACTCCAATCAGAACTAAAACCAAATTTGTAGGAATTTATTTTCTCTAGTGCTAAGAATAAATAGAAAATTGTGAACTCCTGTAGGAAGGTAACCATATGAAGCAATGTGTTTGGATTAGAAATTACTAACATCATTTATTAAGGAAAAATAATGCAGGAGGTGTAGTACTGAGAATTTCAGTGAAGTGTAGAGATTGATTGAAAACTACTTTTCATGACTGCACACAGAGAATTGAACTTTCACATAGGTCACATCAAGACAATGATTTCYCCAGTGGATTTATCATTTGTGTTGCTCCTTTCCTGGAGAAAGARTGTTATTCTGGTCACTGATTTTCTTCTCCCTTTCTGCATCAAAATGTATGCCTCAACAACATGCYCTGAAAATGCTTATGCTGAAGTAATTTGACATGCTCTGAGGTTTCTCTGAGCCAACACTGGTTCCTTTCTGGSTGTTGGGCACCTTAGAAACTGGGTACAGCTGCTGAATAATAGTTGTGAGTTGTGGATGGAAAGGGGGCCACGTGGCTGGGTTCTGGCCTTGCAGGGAGGTTTTGAAYTGGTAGTGGAGACAAGGTAAAAATGGCTTTTAGAGGGGCTCTTGAGGTGGTGTGTTCAACCCTGACTTTTTTTGTTTCCTTTCACTTCAAGGTGTAACAAGAGAAACTGTTCTGCTGAGGGATTCTGTCTGCTGTTAACCCTTAGTAATATTTTAGGCTAATAAATCAAATACTATCACTACCAGCTACCTTTTTTCACTGTCTTGTTTTCTTTTTATCAGAGAATTACTGTAGTGTGGTGTGTGTTTATCATCTTATGGTGAGATACAGTAATTCAGTCTGTCCTCTGAATGTGGAAATAACGCAGATGTCCAGCATCACATCAAGCGTGGTGTTTCTCTTGCTAAGATGAATTTGCTATTGTGAAATCTGACCTATAGATTCAGTCACTGTGTGTACATTGTGTGTAGTATACATAAAGAGTTTGTGTTTTAATAGACAGTTCGCATTTCWTTTATGTCTTCTACAAGTGGATAAGGAAGGGGAGAGTAGTGACTGTTCTTGAGATCTCCAGTTACCATTTTTGTATAAACCTTCTAATTGTGAATGGATCTCTTTTTAGTGATTTTGTGTTGCTTTCATGAAAACTTGCTCTCTGATACTACTTACATAAGTGTCTTGGACGAACCGAGTAGGTTTTCTGTGGTGTGGATTGGATGCTGGTGCAGGGCCATTTGTCCAGCCAAATTCAGAAATACCTCTTTGTAGACACTTACTGGAAACGTTCTCTTACTATGAAGTCAGTGGCCTGTGCCATTTTTGTTTCTCTGAGAGCTGGAGGCCACGAGTTGTCATCGTAATCATATTCATAACTTACTCAAGGAGAACTGTTACCTCTTCCTGTTTTGTGTGCCCTTGTGTTGCCAGCCCCAGAGAGGCCCAGGTGTATGAAGTGATCTGGTTATGGAGTCCAAGGGAGGACTGGGGTGATGCRGTGACACTGCCATGTGTGATTTAGGCGTTTGAAAAGAAGCGGTTTCTCTGAAATGCGCAGTYGGCAGCAGTGTCTCTCTTGCACTGGTGGGTACTTCCCAATGGGGCTCTTGACATTTGAGGTGGAGTATGACTTGTTAAATTCCAGTGACAGGAAAGAAATGCTGTTTTGTTCTCTCAGTGAGTTTWTGTAAAATTTACTCCTTTCCAGAAGGCACATTTTCACTGACACTTGGCCCTGGGCTCTTGACAGTTTGGATGCTCAAGGTCACAGTAATTTGTGAAAAATTGTGGTCCTGAAAAGAAGACTGTTGTCCCATCTCCTGSTTTGCTGTTTCCTTTCATCATCAATGTGTTGGGGGTCGTGAGCAGGGAGCAGTGGATCTGGATGAAACTACTTTTTGTTCTCTCTCACAGCAGACCGTAGGACGTCAGTGCCATGTTTTATCCTTGGTTCACTGTTCTTTGCTGTACCTGAAATAGATGTAAAACCAGCTGCCTGGATCTAACTRCAGCACACAGGGGTTTCCTCAGGCACAAATGGCACTCAGCTGATAGTATCTTCTAGAAAATCAGATTTCCTTCATCAGGAAGCTGACATTCTCAGTTGCCTATAAATGACCATGAATACCTATGTCTGAGGTGTGTGCCTGATTGTTGGTGAGGTGTAAAAGCTGAGCCCTCATGACTTTTTGAAAGTAAAACTTCAGATTCCTGTAGGCAGACTTGCTGAGCTAGTCGTCCAAGTACTGAAAGAATAGTGATACCAAGGTGCTGCATGTAGGTGCTTCTCTTGGAATTGTTTCTGAAAACACATATTCTACTCTGCTGAAAAACTGACTATTCATTTATGCTGTTTAGGCTAGTTTGGGATTTTTTTGTGCAGTGTTTTTCAGGCTGGAGGCTGTCTCTGTGGGCCTTTAGAACCCTAGAAGGGCTTCAGCATGCTGGAAAGAATCAACTGTTTTATTTAATATCAAATGTCTCAACACCTCAACATACTAGTACTTACTTAAAATATGAGTTAGTCTGTAGTGTATTTTATATATATATATATATATATCACTGAGAGCCTGGTATTAAGCCAAATGCTGAACTTCAGGGGTTTTTTTTTTGTCTTCTCTTTTGCATACTTTCAAGGTATTTGGTTAAAAATGAGTTCTCATTATGCAAAACAGCATGATCTCAGGTTAAGCCCCAGACAGTTTCGTGTTCTAAAGGACATTTGTAAATTCTGTTCAAAAGACTGCTCAGAATAATTTTAAATACAGTGTGCTGCTTGGYACTGTTTCCTCAATGTTTGTCCATTACAATTCAGGGTATAATGACGTGCAATGAGACAGACAGTCTGTCCTCACAGTCTTAATTCCAGCTATCTTTTTTTTTTCTGCAAAGTAGGTATTTTTGGAAATTCATCACAGCTCTAAATGATGAGCACAGAGGCTAGAGGGGGTAATGCTGTGAAAGWTGGATATGATTTGGAGTGCTAACAGAGGGCAGTATTTCAACCAGCAAATAGTTGTTGGGCAAGTCCTAAGGTAAAAATAATTTTCAGAAATAACAGCTTTCACAAAGGGATCCAACAGGAATCTTTCCAAATGGTAGTGATGGTTATGCCTTTGGTTACCTTTGGATATATTTTGGTGAGCATTGGGTTTAACTTCTCTCTAAATGCAAAAACAGTGGGATTGGCTTAAGAATGTCATGAAGCCAGAAATGTTGTTAAAGGTTTAAATAAGTTGACAGCCTCTCTCTAGAAAACACATTTATATTTTTCTTACTGACAGAATGGTTGTACCCAGGATTGCTCTAAACAAGTCAAGGATTACCCCTCTGCCTTCTTTTTTGTCTTACATTTGACCTCTCTTGTACAGTCCTCTTGAGTGTTTCCACATCTGTCTTGATTGCTATGTAAAAGTCACATGCAATAACAACACTTTAGGTGATTAGGGTGAGGATGTTAATATCAGATATGCTAATGGATAATACAGAGTTTGAAATGAAATCCAGGAAGTCTTCCAAGAAACTTGAAGTCAAATTCATATTATTCCTGTGTACTTTTCCCCCTGAATCTAWGTAATGTTTTAAAATACAGCCATGTAGTGTTACATGTTACGTTTTTCACTGTATCAGGAAAAAAAAAAATCTTTATTTTCTTCATTTTAATGTTAAAAATCACCTTGGACATTTTTCACCTGGAATTTGTTTATTTAGTCATTGAAAATTTTCTATCCAGACCTGGGTAGGGCATAGGAACACAAAAGAATCATTAAGAGGCAGAAATGGTAATAATAAGATTGAAGCAGATGTCTCAGGAGAAAGCTCAGTGAAGAACATATTTTTCTCCAGAAAATTCTCCAGAAAGTGGCCCAGATAGAGAGAAAGAGCAGGTTTCTTCCACAGCTTATCAGGAAGTCTGCAGTATTGAAGGTGRGGGTGTTTGCAGTGTGCAGCGGTACTTTGGCAGTGCTTTGTTGCCCGGGCTGTGATTCTCCAACCTGTGAGATGACAGCTGCCATATTTTTATCTGGAGTCACCAAAGCAGAGYTCTGCAGTCATGTGCAGTGTGGTGCTTGTGCAGTAGGTTGTTGAATATCAGTAATTTGTCTGTACCCGGTAAGTCCAGCGCTCGCAGGAAGCATATGACTGATCCTACACAAAATAGATGGGCTGTAGGTGGATGTGCAGCATATCCTGAGTGCCTTCCAAAAGCGTCAGACCAAGGCAGAGAGATTCATTGATTGTGCACCTCTCTTGTGACARCCCCTGCTCACAGGAATGCTTTGGCCTTACCGTGTGTGCCTGTTCAGCTGATGGATGTGCACGTGGTGCGCGTGTCTGGGATGCCTCAGCRTACAGCAGCTTCTGTGGAGCTGTGCCCCAGGAGTTCTGACAGAGCTACTGCTCTGCTGGGGATACAGGGCAAGTAAAATTTGGGAAACATGTTTGGGAAAACTCATGCATGTGGCAGCCTTATGCAGGATCTTCTTAGGTTGTCCACAGCTTCAGGAAATAAAAAGCCAAAATGGAGCCTGTCATGTTATGGCACTGTCCCTGGTGCTTTGTTTGTGCARTGTTTTCTGGTTACGGGCCAGCAAGGAGTAAAGTCTGGTGGTGTAGGACAAAGTAAGGGCATTGGAGAATATCCTCCAAAATTTCATGGGAGAGCAGAGAATGAGCTACAGTCAGTAAKTACCACAGCTGATGTATGTCTTCCTTCCCCAAATGCTCCTTTGTATTCAAATRAGTGGATTCTAGGTTTGCAGACTTGGTAGCTGCTGTAAGTCCTTAGTTGTATAATCCTTCTTTTGCTTCAGAACAAAGACCTCATGTTTGAAAGGGGATTAAAACCATGCTGGTAGGTCCAGTGTCCTTGAAATAGCATTTTAAATTTTTTTTAAATTTTTCTTTCTCTAAATCAGGCCTTGTTTAAAACCTGTTCCTTTTCTCCCAGCTCCCCAACAGAGAACAGTGCAGTGCAAAGGTCTGTGTATGCAGTGGGTTATATAAGTGTGACAGAAAACCTTGGGCTGCTCATTGGAAGTGACGTTCTCTCGGGTCATCGGAAGTGTTGGTTTCGGAGCTCCTGGCAATGCAGTCACTCCTGGTGTGTGGTGTAGCAGAACACAACAAGCAACTGGTTCTGGTCATGAGAACAGCTCACAGCAGGGTCTCCTTGAACGTAGGTGTGTRTTCTTGTGCACCACTTCACTGGGTGTTTGTGGATGCAGTTTGGTAACTACTGGTGGCAAGGCTAGTGAGTGGCAAGGCTAATGAGTGGAGAGGGAGAAGGTGGCTCAACAAGAACAGACAGCTAAGAGCGCTCAAGGGCAACCCTGAAGCAAGGGTAGAATGTTATCAGCTGGGCTTGCATATCTGTTGTCTTGCACTGGTTGAGTGTTGTATACTTTAGATTGAATCAGTTGTTGGCTGTGGATGGTAGTTTTACRGTGATGATTCAGCATTGGTATTGTTCTTCCTTAAAATGGAAAACAGTTTGCTTCCTTGTCTTTCTTCAGAAACTCAGCTGTAATTGTAAATTATTGGAATTAGCAGTTTCTTAATGGTTGTTTTGAGTGCACATAGCCATTGATTTAGAATTGCTGTTACAGACCCAAGTAATTTGCTAATTAACACCTTAAAGGATCACCTTTAATGCTGCCTCCTGCACTTTTTCTACTTTTCTTCTTAAATGTCTTTTCTTTCAAGTCTTTTCTTCATTTTAGTCCTTCTTTATTCTCCAGCTGCTAGCCATTTCCATCTGCTCCTTTGCTGATTGTTTCTTCCTTGCATGAACTGCTCTATTTGGGAAGAAAAGACCAAACTCCTCCACAGTCACTCTTTTGTTGATTTCCATTTCAACTTTCTCAGTATTCTTTTTCCATTTCCTATTTTCATTAAGTAGCCCTCATTTTCTCCCTTTAGTCTACTTCATTAGTTCCCCTGTGGTTGTGCTAATTGGCCTCTGTTGCTTTCCTGTGCTGGAGCAGGAGGCAGAAGGGATGCCATTAGCAGGAGGAGATGGCTTCTTGTGCAAGCCAAGGGAGGATGTTGCTGCCCACTACAGCACTGTAAGATCATGTGCAGAGACAGACTCTGTGTTTCAGCCAACCTGCAGCCACCATGGTGTTTAGTTGCTCATTAAAATGATAAGAGATCGGTATTTAATATATAGGATTATATCAGTGTATTTCACTTCCATGGGTATTGTCTGTTTGGCTGTGCTTTTTCTGCCTATTCTGGTTCATAAACTTTTGAATGTAGTATTTTCAATTGCTGAGACTAGCAGTTACAGTAGCATTTACTGCATATTGCTACAAAGGGCAATAAAAAGTCTAGTTTTCTTTTAAAATACAGTTGCTTCTCTGTTTTSTCAGGTTGGCATATCTGTCCATGTAAATGCTACTTAAAACACATATTTATACATTTTGTTTGCAATTCTAGGAATGCTTTAAGGGAAGCTGGGCCACTCACAAGTTACTACACAAGAAAGCAAGTAAGTACATTACTTTTCTTTGATGCGTTTTCATATTGCTTTGAATTGGTGTTGTCCTATGCAGTGAGCTCTAGGTAGCCTTGCTTGAGCTGGGTATTGGACCAGATGCCTCCAGAGGTCCCTTCCAACCTCAGCTGCTCTGTGCTTCTCTGCCTAAGAATGGTATTGGGTTTTTTCCATCTGGCACTGGATGAAATAGCTGAAATTTTGTCCAGTTCCCGACAATCTAAAGTGCTGTGTAAAATTTCAGAGGCAGAGGTACACAGAAGTCTCTGTTTCTGTTCCCTTTTCTATTTGTATGAATTATTCCTTGAGCTTCATTGCCAGGTATACCAACACAGAAAGAGAGGTGTAGAAATAAAGGGCAAGGAGGATAATAAATACTATTGTAAGGCAGTGTTCTTTCATAGCATTTTGATGTCTAATGCAGTAAAAGGCAGCAAAGTGGGAAAGGTTCTTGCAAARTCTTTGTGATTAGAAACTTGCTGGAACACAAGTGAGTCAGAGTGCAGCTGTTCTGTATATTTTTTGACAGAAAAGTGAGAATGCTTTATGTGCATGGTGCAGCACATTGATGGAGGATTTATCATRGCTGGGATTTTGCTGAGTTTAGTTAAAGGTAGTAAGGGTATCTGTGTGCCTTAGTGACAGCTGGTAGCTCTGGCACAGAAATAGTAAGAGACTGGTAGATTCTACCTTATCTGAGTAGTGAAAATAGCCCACAAGTTTAAAACCAAAATGAGAGCAGACCTCAGTTCTCTGTTCAGATGATGGCCTCTTCCCTGCCATCATCTTGCATATCTTCATTAAGCCCTGCTTAAAAGGGAGGTTGGGTTAAAAAGTGACATGGCAGAAATTCACATCCTCAAATAATTTACCTCCTTTCCTAAAACCCAATAAACCCTTGTTTTTGCATGATAAATGTTGAATGATAAATAGGTTGAAGGAGTACAGACAATTAGAAATATTTTCCTTYTTTCTGCCTTCCCAGTGTAGGGATCTCATAGTTCACACTTGCATTCTGTATCTTATTAATTTGTGTGAATATGAAAAACTTTGGACTTTTAAATTGTTATTTCTCAGTTTCATCTGAACTGAATATCATCTGAGCAGATGGCTCAGATTTCAGCCACAGAGACACTGAGCAATTCACGTTAGGGCTTGCAATGGCAAATCTTTTGCCTTCTCCTCATCTGTCTGAGATATAAAAAGAGAAAACAAACAAGTAATTTGGTTGAGTTAAGGATTATTGCGAACATGCTCTTTCTTAGCCCTTGCCTTCTTTCTGTGAGTAAGTACTTCTCCTTTTGCTGTTGCTCAGGATCTGCTTATTTCAATCCTTTATGTAAATACCTTCAATCTGCCCTCATAGGACTGTTATTTGTGAATGAAGTCATTAACTGGACCATGTCAGACATGAATTTTACAAGGTTCAGAGAGCTGGGAAGCTCCAGCAGTTTGAGACCATCTTGTAAGGTGTGAGMACTGCCTGTCCCGAACTGCAGAAGTGACAGGGCCTGCATTCTCTTCATCACCTCTAGAGTGGTAGCAGGCTCTGTGTATTGAGGCTGGCAGTTGGATGRCCTCCTCCCCACMTTTGGATGGCCTCCTCCCYRCCTTTGGATGGCCTCCTCCCCACCTCAGGTCATTTCAGTCACTGGGTGCTAAGGGAAATTGCAAGAAAGGAACATTTATCTGCAGTGCAAGGGTGTTAATTGAAGGGATAGCGAGTCCCTGTGTAGAAACAGGCTTCTTCCCAGGAGTGAAAACAAACACTGCGTTATAAAACTACAAATGAAGAAGAACTTAATTGCTACGCTTCATTTGTGCATTCAGTCCTGACATTCCCCAGTTTGCTATTGAATAGGGTAGGAAGAATGTGAATTTGGAATGGCTAATACAAAATGATAACTGCTACTTAACACTTAYATATATCAGTGTCTAAAATGTCAGAAAGAGTCGGGTCTGGGCTTATGTACTTCTATGTCACTTTCTAGACTCCACAGTTCTTATTCTTAGTAGGACTGATTTTGCTGCTGCAACTTTTTTTCTCCCTTTTTCTTGTCTTTTCAGAAGATGAAAAAGCTAAGCGTGAAGTTTCCTCCTGGAGCCTGGAAGGTGACATTAACACAAATCCCTGGTCTGGTTATCGGTACACTGGTAAACTCAGGCCACACTATCCACTGGTAAGCAAGAGGTGCCACTCTGTTCTAGCAGTGCTACATTCTATAGCAGCTAATGGACCACTCCTGACCTGATGACTTCCCGCATTTTAGCTGAGACATGAGAGCTTCTTAAACAGTCTGAACCTAATGGCCAGGAGGTGCATGGCTGTCCTTATTGTGGTTCATTTTGATTTAACTTATTCTATCTCTTGGTATATTTATAATTAAGGAAGTTCTTGTGAAGTAATGAGCATCAGTAACAGGCTGAAGCTCATAACTTTTGGATGAACATTTTGATGTTTRTTCTGCAAAAAAGCTACTGCTAGTTCAGATGATGTCTCCTAGCTGTTTACTGTCCCTGCCAGTTATGGAGCAGTCTGGTGCTCAGCTCAGGTGAATTAATTTAGAATTTAAATAAATGGTTTCATATTATATTATGTAAGTGGTTCAAAATAACCTGGTAAGTGAACTGGTGATGAGCTGAAAGAACAGAGGTTACGGTAATCTCCAGCACTGAAATGGTGAAGAATAGCAGAGATCAGTAAGATCTTTGGCTGTGCAAGATGGGTGTAGAAGATGAWGACATGTAGCTGTATGTAAATATGTGTAGCTGTAATTTTAAATTGGTACAAGTTTGTACACGGAGTAAGCTGAAGCTTTTTTTACAGGAATAATGGCATTTTCTTTACATTTGTCTCTTCTAATTGGCCTGTGCTGGAAAAGCTGCCCCAGTGGCATCCTCTCTGTAGTCTTCTCCATCTGTTAGAGGCTCATTAGAGAACAGATTAAGAGAGCCTGAGCCCATATGTGTTCATGAGCATTGTTGGAGAAAAGTGTGTTTTGGATATTTCACAGGCCAAGTAATTTAGTAGTGTTGTCTCTGAACAYTGGCTTTTTTGTCTAGCCACTGCTGTAAGACTGATGCAAATGGAGTTAGAGGTTTTGACTAAGGTGATGGTTAGAAAATAGCAATCCTGCTAGAGAGAGAAGGGATGTTTTTGGAACAAGWGCACTTGCAGTCTAGAAAGCAAAATAAATATTACAGTAAGGAATAATACATTATAAAACCAGTTTGATTCATTTGACAATAAAAATTGGATTTTTACAAAGCTGTGCAGTTGGCTATTAAAAGTTGTATAATATGATAGCAATAAAGACTAACAGCAGAATATTTGAGAATGAAACTTGGAACTGTTTTGGAGTGTTCGCGTACTTCACAACCTTTTCTAAGCGGATTTAGCCATATTTCACATGAAATATTACATACTGTATTTAATTTTGCTGTGTGACTCTGTTTTTGWGACTATAATAAGTGTTCTTGCAACCTAACAAGCCTTGCCTTTGATTTATTTAGACGCCAACAAGACCTGTGCCAAGTTATATTCAGAGACCGGATTATGCTGATCACCCACTAGGTAACTTGARACAAATCACAATAATGGAGTGTTGTTTGCTTTCTATTTTCCTTTTAATTGAAAAAGCCTTTAAAGCATGAAGGAGATTCTGGAGAAGGGAACCTCTTTTATCTGTTCTCATGTTGCTTCTTCCCCACATTAACTTACTGATTTTTAAATAATCATGGCTGCAAGTATCTTTTGGAAGTCCACGGTTTGTAATGTATTGTCTTTCAAAGGTGTCCAGGGAATTAAGAGTAAATTAATTTGTTTTTTTTTTTTTTTTTAACCCCAAATGTACAAGTCTTAGTTCCATTGTTTGCTAACAAACACAGTTTGATAACAAAACGGCAATCAGTTGACTGTTGCAGATAAAGTCTGCTAAGCCATTCTCCATGGTATTAGCATATTTGTTGAAAATGTGTTATTTTATAACAAAACCAAGAGAACCTTGCAGTATGGAACCCCAAAAGAAAACTGATGTATGAGTTTCAGCTATTTTTGGACAGAAAGGGAATGCATTCAAAATTACTTGCTTATTGGATTTTTGTGGTATTTTCTGCTTTTTATGTGTTGGTTTTTTTATTGGTGCTTTTCATTTTCCCAGAAGGCTGCTATAAAGTCTGGTAGCATTATTTTTTAATCTTAAGCCATTCCTTAGATATTTTTTAAAGASTGTAAATATTTAAACAACACAAAATACTGTATTTTAGGGAGTCTCTCATCTATAAAGCTGAGGTTGCACAGACTTTGGCAGGAGGAATTTATGTTTTTATCAGTTGATTGCTGCAGTAGTATAACCAGATATATTCCCAAGCTCATATAATCCTTTATGTCTGTTTTGTAATGTAATTTTTGCTAATTACTTTCTTAGAGCAGGTGAAAAATRCTTTTCTAGGAATAAAATAACTTCCTTATAAACCTGATATTTAACGTTATGTTTTGACTCACTGGACATGATGGTTTTATGCAGTAAGTGAATGGGCTTCCTGAGCACATGGGGGCATTATGGTATTGTGGAAGGCTTATGAATTCCAGTTAATCTGGATAATAATAATGATGCTATGGGTTGGTGGATTCCTTATTTTAGGCTATGGTGAGAAAGTCCATACATCTATTGCCATTGGTTAGCTGAACAATTTTCTGGATTGGATATGTGTAGTAATCACCCCCTATGTARCATGKTTTTTTCTTTCTCTTATTTTTTTCTTTTTTTTTCTTTTTTTTTCCTCCTCTCCCTTTTTTCTTTTCAGGAATGTCTGAATCAGAACAAGCTTTAAAAGGAACCTCTCAAATAAAAATACTGTCATCTGAGGATATAGAAGGGATGCGAGTAGTGTGTAGGGTAAGASGGCTTTGATTTTTCTTACAAGGTACCTTTATATTCTTTAAAAATCCGTAATGATTTTACCACTCTGTGAGAGCACATTTAAGACTACAAACTTTCAAACCACTTTAGAGCACTGAAAAATAGTTTGACAAGTTTAATATTTTYTTCTTTTTTCTCTTCTTGTGACTCCCCAATAAAGTATTTTGCAAGCAGAAAAATGACTTTTATCTGTGTCCTGGCTTTGTTTTTAYTAGTGAGATAATCTGTGCCTGAGACATTGTTAAGAATATGTTTTATAGTGCAGAAATGGGAGCAGAACTTGTTCTCTGCTGGAGCTGGTACTAAGTGAAAACTACAAAGCAAAGCAAMGCCCCATCCCTAACAATTTTTGAAAAAGAGCTGTTCAGTTGTAACCACTTCTTCTGCATAAAGTCAAACTTTGAAATGTATTTAGGTAGTCTGATTTCAGATTATGTCATTCGAGGAAAATGTGGTCCAAATCTTAATTGRGGTATTTTCAGCTCTCATACTACATGACCTGGAGACTTGAAGTCTTTTTAGAGCCCAACTCCACACAGCTTTCCTGGTGATCTCAGTGTAGCTGTCAAAAATGGGTTACTAATCTTGCAGAGATTGATCCAATAGATCAATCTTGCAATTGATCCAGTAGATCAATTTAAAATCTATTTTAAATTTTGAATTGTTTCATTTGCAGCTTGCTAGAGAAGTATTGGATGTTGCTGCCATGATGGTAAAACCAGGAGTAACTACTGAAGAAATTGATCATGCTGTCCATTTAGTAAGATTATTTCATTATTCTTCTGGTGTTTATAAGCATTTTCTTCTATCTCTGTTTTTAAATGATWATTGTGTGGTTTTCTTTGTTCCATGAATTCCATTTCCTTATTTTGAGCTGTTTCCCAGTTTGAAGCTGGTGGGTAATGCAGATGGCAGAAATGTGCTACAGTGCAAGGTTCAAAGTGCGTTAGGAGCTCCCGGACCTCTCTGTGTATCAGCTGCTTCCACATTTCTGGCATCAAATTGCTTCTAAGTTTTTTTTACGTGCTTTCTCAGTTAACATCATATTATTTTCTTTCTTCTAAACCCTTTTTGTTCCACAGATACCATTATGTAAAGAACGCCATATGTAGGCCACGGCCTTCTTGTACTCTCTGTTGTTGGTTAAGACATATAGAGGAGAAAGCTAAATTATTTATGGTTGGGAGTCAGAACTGAGATGCCTCAGAGAGAACTGAAACATGTTTGATGCAGGCAGACARAAAAATAACCCACAGTCCAGTGAAGTGTTTAAGAAAGCATGTTCAAGAATTTTCCTGCCTTTTTGTAGATACTTGAATTGTATAATTTTTTTTCTTTGCTGTCTTTGCTATGAATCATGTAATCAGGTAATTGAGTCTACTTCTGTGCACAGTGGGAAAGGAAACAATTTTGGTATAGTTAAGTTTGTCAGAGAGCTTTCTGGTTCTTTTCATCTGCATTTGAAGCTGTTGAGCCAAGATTGTCTGCTTTCATTAGGCTGGAGATTTCGACTGAACTGCATTAAATGCCAAACTACCTGCTTAGGCATAATGTCTAATATGAACAGCAAGTAGTTAAAATGTAGTTACTGCTCTTCAGCAGTTTATGGAAACTTTGGCTTGGCAGGTTGTTGATGCTGACTGAAATTCCTAATTGGTATTTTGTAGTTTTAAACAGTTCAATTTTTCTAAGATTAAAAAAAAACTTAACACGATATTTTTTTCAGTACTTTGCTAGTATGTCATAAAGTGTGTGTATGTATGTATAAGTATATATGAAATGTGTCAGTTTTGCAAAAATACAAAAAGGTTATTATAGTGCAAGGGAAGCAGCTTAAGGTTTTAAAGCTGGGGAGKAGTGGTGCTAATTATGATTTTGTTTAGCTTGTGTGTCTTGCAACAAAAATCTTAGATTGGGTGCTTAAATGCGGTAATTGAAAATTATTTTTTAAAATTGAATAAATATTGCTGTGCATTAAACCTGACTATTTCAGCATTTGCAGTTAAACATAATAATGAGCAGAAACAAAATTAAAGTAATTTTAATTCCTTCCTGGTAAGAAATGCAAGGTATAACAAGAAAACTGCCGAGAAATGTTTGAAGCATCTTACTCTCAGGAGTTAGTTCAGCCTATCATTCTTACTGTAAAGCTGTTGTGCATATGCTTTTTCTGTGTTTTTTCTTTGTACCAAGCTTACTAGTGTAAATTGTATCTTCTCTATTTAGGCTTGTATCGCAAGAAATTGCTATCCTTCCCCTTTGAATTATTAYAATTTCCCCAAGTCGTGTTGTACGTCAGTGAATGAAGTGATCTGTCATGGAATTCCTGACAGGAGGCCATTGCAGGAGGGAGATATTGTTAATGGTAAGTGCTGTGAAAATTAACCTKAAACATTTCTACCTTCTATGCACTTAAACCATGCAGTAAGGTGAGATTTCACAAGCAGGCAATATGATTGGAGTAGTTTCTTTAGAGCGGCTTTTGTTGTATTTACCAATTATTTGTTCTCATTTACCTCTGCTCTTCATATACCTTAATTCATGAGTTTATTCAATAAAATAATTTCTAAAGTTCAGTATGCTTGAAGAGCTTCATAATTCTTGTGCTCTGATCTGTGCATTAGTATAGTGCCTGAGTATTCCACTTGTGGGCTACATTCCAGTTGTYCCAGACTGTGTATAGATAGTGAATAAAACGTATATTGAATTATTAAYGGGATTAGTTCTGTGTGAATTCTTGATTAGATGGCTCTAGATCCTTACAGTTGTGCTATGCTCAGGATGATTATGGTGACTCTAAAGGGACCTAGTGAGGAGGCATTATATAGGTGCATATTAAAAACCATACCGTTTGAGCTTCTCACAGCCTAAAAATACCAGCTGCTTTTTGTTCTTGGCACTTAAGGTACTTAGACTTTCTTGGGTGGTAAGGGATACTTTTATAAATTACTTGACCATTTTTTGTTTTTGCTTTCATTTCTTCTTGGTTTAGCAGTAGAAATTAATGATGCTTTTTTGGTACAAACATTTGCACCTTTGTTTACTGCATTGGTTTGCTTTTCTCCTATCTGTAAATAAATATGCAGTGTATCCTCAGGTTTAACCTGCTTCTAGAAGAAGTTTATAACTTTTTTAGATTATCATATATGATACTTATTAGCATGTAATAATATCTACTAAATMTACACCTCAGTGTGGCAAGTACCAGCCTTTTAGAACAAGTRTCATGACTGCTGCCCMTGTCTAGTTGAGATGWGGTCTGGCTGATAGCTCTGAGCCATAGGGTATGTGTCACAACGTATGCCAGAAYTCCTTTATCTTATTTTGATTTCAAAAATGATGCCTTTGCACAGCTCTCTACTATTGGCAGCTTTTCTGGCATTGCTGGAGTCMAAACTAAGAGGCCCAGTTCACAGAACTGTAGAACCATAGAATGGTTTGGGTTGAAAGGGACCTTAAAGATGATTCGGCTTCAAAGCCCCATCCAGCCTGACCTTGAACATTTCCAGGGATGGGGCATCCACAACTTCTCTGGGCAACCTGTTCCTGTGCCTCACTACTCTCACTGTAAAGAATTTTTGTCTRTATCTAATCTAAACCTGYTCTCTTTCAGTTTGRATSCATTCCTCCTTGTCCTGTCCCTACATACCCTTGTARAAAGCTCCTCTCYATCTTTCTTAYTGGTTCCTTTCAGATACTGGAARACCACAATTAAGTCAACCCAAGGCCTTTTCTTTTCCAGGCTGAATGATCTGAATTCTCTCAGCCTTTTCTCATTGAAGAGGTGTTTAAGCCTTCTAATCAGTGTGGTTGGCTTCATCTACACTGTGCCTTACCTCTCCACTATTTTCATGCCAAGGCTGTACCTMAGGCCCAGAGAACAACTTCTAAAAGAGGGTTTAGTCATACCTTTGTCCACATTTCTGCACTTGATCAAGCTTGGAGCCTTCTGCTTTTTTTTTGATGAGGAAGAACTAGGCTCCCTTTTTGTAAGGCAGTGGCTCAAAAGGCTCTTGAAAAGAAGGACCAAACCAAGTTACAAGGAGGGATAGAATAGGTACTTTGGAGGGAATGTACCCAACGAACGATTTAAAGGAAATGTCCATCTTTTTCTTTATTTAAAACTTTTTAGCCTGCTCTAAGCCATGCCAAAATTCAAAACAGGGTTTTTGAATCATGGGAAAACATCATTCAGAAGGTACTGGCAGGTGATGTTTAGTCCAGTCCCCAGCTCTGAGCGGGACATCCTAATATTCTGTTATCATACTGTTCCCTGGGAGCAGATCCTTAAACAAAGCTGATCTGTCCGCAAAGTGAGATGTTCTGACCCAATCTGACAGTGTCAAAAATCTTGTAATCAGGTGGCCTACAGAGATGGACTCCTCACAACAGGTAGTGACCCTGGTGCTTAGGAGCCCTGACAGTTTTACGAGAAACTTATCTGCATGTGTTCCCAGGGTGCTGGTTTCTGTACAGTCCTCTTGCATTACCAGATCTGTACACTGGGTAAATGTTCCTGTAGTCCCACACATTTAATGCAGGAAGCAGAGCACAGCCCTGCACATGCATCCATCCACAGCAGGCAGTATTGTTTTGGTGGGGTATTAATTTCATTCTCAAGTGTTTGCCAGCAGTACAGATCTACTGTTGACACCAGTGTGTTTTCCCACATTTTCCTGGTCTCTCTCAGCAGCTCATATGCCATATTCCTGAGGTATTGCTGCTCACTACAGTCTCCTTCATGACTGTTTACCTGTGAGAGGATTTGGATGTGCGTTTCTTCATGAATAGCAGTGCAATAACTATTCTAGTGCGTTTGGTGATCTAGCAGCTGCTAGACCTACCAGATGACTGACAAAGACTTAGAAACAAAACTACCCATCCTACCACTGCAAGACAACTTGATATGCAAAACCATGATTACATACCTTTTAAAATTTCACTTCCCTCTATTAGTGCTAGAATTAATTCTAAGAAAGTACTTTAACCAGGTAAGTGACCATGGAGCAAAGTTCCTCTTTCCAGTTTTTATAATTACCTAGAAAAACAATGCAAGCTTGCTGTGTCTGTGTTGCATTGCTGGGTTTTTTTTTTTTCTCTCGCCTCCCTTTTATTTCGTTAAATTGAACTGTTGACAAGTGAAACACTAACTTATTAATTCTATAGAATCTACAAAATAAGCATGAATTGAATCTGCTTGGGGAGTAYTCATGCAAATTCTTGTGAAGAATGRAATTCTTGTGAAGTACTCAYTTCACAATTRGAACACCCATTTCTACATGTTTGTTCTATCAAATCAGAGGCAGGAACAGAGTGCTGATTTTCCATGTCTGATGTTGTTTGCAGTGGATATTACAGTCTATCGCAATGGCTACCACGGAGATCTGAATGAGACGTTCTATGTTGGAGAAGTGGATGAGGGTGCCAGGAGGCTTGTACAAACAACTTATGAGTGCCTRATGCAAGCCATCGATGCAGGTAAAACTAGAGCCAGCAGCATTAAGGTTTTGGTTGTCAAACATGCTTGCTCATATTTGCCACTGCTCCAAGTGGCTTCTGTTGCAGCACACAGAAGCATTGGTGTGTTGGCATCAGCAGATGATGGGTGTTGTGTAATGCAGTGATCCTTCAAATGGCACAGTTCTGTGAGTGATGGCTGCAACTTCTTTTTAAATGTGGGTTGATGAAGAAAATTTATTTGATGTGGAGCTGATCCACAGATGATATTGACATGGAAACAGCCTTTTTTTGACTGTTGATGACTAAGACATCTTTGGTCTGAGTAATTTAGAGAATGTAACAAGCAAAGTATGTTTTGGAAAACCCTATTTTCATAATTAGTATGGTGTTGCACAGTGAACTGATAAGGTAAAAAACTGGGTGAACGCCTAAACATATCTCTTTAACTCTGCCAAACCTGATTGTTATTTCATTAAGATAGTTATGAGCTCTTGATTTTCTGCTGTGGCAGTGTGCCAGAGAAGACAGATCCATATCCTCCAGTACCTACAGAACTTTAATGATGTTGCTCAGTTATCACTCAGGGCAGCTGCGTCGAGACATACAATGAGATAGAAAGGTAGCTGGAGAATATTGTGTTCAACTTCAGAAAACAAAACAAGAATTTCCCAAGTCCCTGGAAATCATCTGTATCATTTATACCCTACAGCTTGTTAAAATCTCTATTATAATTTAATCACTTTATGGCCTCTAAAGATTAAAGTTTAAGGTGCTTTATAGTAAGGCTTTGAACTTGCATTTAATCAAAAGTAAATGTAAATAAAAAAATGAAAATGAACTTAACTTCAGTTAGTAATTTGGAGATAGCTAGTCAAGATGAAAAACACAAGACATCATTCCTATGGATTTTTGACATCTGTTGGATGGTCAAGAAAATACTGCCAGCTTGAGCTGTGACGAATACAGATTGCCTGTTTATGTGGGATTACTGTTTGGAAATGACTACTTTGTTTTTCAGAGCTAACCCAGCACAGTGTCATATCTTTGGTTCTGTACTTTTTTATAGCCAATGTTACATGTGTTGTTTCTTATCCTTTGTATCCTGGCTTTGATGTATCAACTGGAACAGAAATTTCCCTTTGTGTTCATTACAATCAGATTAACATTCTCACTCTAAGTCTCTTTTACCAACTTTTTAGATGTAATGTGTTGCATGTGAGTAGGAATTCTGTCAGCAAGTGTCTCAGCAGTTAAAAAGGGGTGACTTCTCCCCTCTTTAAATAATCTTAATGTCTTGGTGTTGGAGCAGCAGAGTTCTAGCTAGGAGAGCCATATGAGAGTGAAACAGAGAGGGCTCCTTGTTCCATTGAAATGAATTGCATGTGCTGTCAGGCCCATACTTCATAGCTATTTAGCACAAACCCAACAGATTAATCCCTTTCCCACCATGTCCTTTTTGAAAAAAACTTTGGAGAAACATGTATATTCCAGAAATACAAATTTCTTGTTATTTTCTGTAAATTCAACTTAGAGGTTTCAGTTGTAGTTGCTGACATTAGCAGAAAATTGAACTAAATGGTTTATTCACATAAAGTTTTAGCTTTATGAACTCTGCTTACAACCACAGATCTGGTTCCTGAAGCAACAGCATATATTCAGCGAGTTGGAAATGGTCTTGGAAAAGCACGATTTTTTGTTTTAAGTGTCTCAAGGTTGTTTTTGGTATGAACCTTCATTGGCTGAATGATGAAACATTGTTGCCTTCATGGTATTATTACTCCCTTGTCCAAGTGCTCAAAGTGAATTTGTCAATGCTCTCTTCATGTGTTTGAAACTTTTTAACTTTTAAGGCTTTCTAAAGGGATTGTCAAAAAAGTTAATCCTAAATATGAACATTCTTATTTGCTGTAGCATTGTCACTGAGAATTTTGTCTAAGAGTTGAGAGACCCATTTTCCCTTTCTTTTCGTTCTTGGTCCTTTGTGTGCATTTTTTACACAGTAGTAGATGGAGAAGTGTACTTTCATTGCAAGAAGTTTACCAAAGCTTACCAAAGACCTTGAAAGTCCTTTATTTTTAATTTCAGACTTCGACATCCTTTTAATGTAAGCACTTGCATCCATGAAAGGAAGAAAGTAGTATTCTTTTGCAAAAAGAATTTTCTTCTTTCTCTCGGTTTTTATTTTTTTTTTTTTTAATATGAGACAGTTTCCTCCCTCTCTCATGCTACTACATTCACTTACATACTTGGTGAATTAAATGAACATAGGAAGTGGCATACTGGAACAGACAGACACACAAGCCATCAGTGTTACAGAGATGGCATTTGATGGTTAGTGGTGTTGAAAGAAAGATCTCTAAACTTCCATCTGTATTTCTTTAATTTTGCAGTAAAACCTGGTGTTCGGTACAGAGAACTGGGGAACATAATTCAGAAACACGCTCAAGCAAATGGATTTTCAGTGGTTCGGAGCTACTGTGGGCATGGAATCCATAAACTTTTCCATACAGCTCCTAACGTGCCACACTATGCCAGTGAGTATTCATTCCCTTTGTGCTGTCCTGTGGACCAGAAGTGGTTTGCAATGAGTGTACCCAATTTACTTGAGCCRTCATGTTAGCATTTAGGCACTTGGGAAGTAATTGTTTTCTAAACTCTGGACTGTAGCAGCCTTTATGAACCTAAGTGAGGAGAATATATTATATAATGAAACAGTCTGCCTACATGAATGGTTAGTGTTAGCTCTCATCTGTACTGGGTGCAGTTTTTGCCTGAATTCCCAGCTGAATTCCCTGAGACATTCTCCTCTAATATGAATGGGCAAATGTTTATCTTCTTAAAAGTTCTACGAAAACCTTACTGCTGTTTACAGATTTAAATAAAAAGCTCTTTGAATAGTGTAAATGGGTGTTGTGCCTAAATCTGGATCMTCTTCTTTTCACTTTCCATCATTTGAGTGTTGTGATTTGGTACTTCTGGAAACTTCATCATAGTGCATGGCAGAGGAATGAACATTCCCCCAGCAGTGGTAGTTTTTGGAAAAGTTCATGGCCCCATAACAATTTTTCCAGCAAGCCTAAGAAASAGCATCCATGGAGGCAAAGGATGGAAGGTTAAATGCCAGTGCCAGTGGACAACTAAGGGCAGAGTAAATATCACGAAGCAGTGATTAACAGTTGATACCCACTTCAGCTGTAAAGCTTCCCTGATACGACACTTATTTCCTCAGACCTGACAGGTTCCTCCATTTTCCCATCTCCTAATGAGCTCTAACATGTGTTATGGTTATAGATTATAATCTAGTGATTCCTGACTTTCCATGTAACATCTGTTAATTGCAGGGTAGAAGGGTATCAATACCTGATACATACTTTTTATTGTGTAAAGTAAGAAAATCTGGATTCTTTGGCAGTCGAGAACATTTTGCACCAATTAAAATTCAGTCGAGGAGAACAAAAATTCTTCCTTTCCTGACTGTTTGGAACTTTGAACTTTTTTTTTCATTGAGCTAGTATATCTATTCGCAGAAAGAAAGATGCTGGGTGTTTTTTTCTGGTATTTTTAAATACAGAGTCACAGCAAAAGCAAAGTRGAAAGATCTGAGGGATTTAAAGACTGTTGTAGAAAAAAGAATGCTGCTGCTCGTTTCTAGCTTACTATGAAAGGAATTTGAAAAGCAAAAAGCTCATTTTCTAAGAAAAATGTTCTGGTTGTTGTTTGGCAGCTTGATGTCTGAGATTTTTAAAGCCTCTAGGTGAYTGAAGCAGTGTAATAAATGTGCACAATTAAGGTTATATGAGGTGATGTAAAAATGAATCAAATTGTCTACAGCAGCAGAGTAGCTTGGAGCTAATGGTTCCTGTGCAGTCCTGGAGCTTGTTGCAGCTCTCAGGCTCAGTCACATCTGAGCTGTGCTGCCATTCCAGGTGAAACACAGCAGTGGAAATGGGCTGAAGGCTTCCTTCAGTCAAACTGCACTCCTGGAGTCGCACTGTATCAGCTCATGTGCCTCCACATAAACATTTTTCGTGCATTTTACATCAGAAAGTTCCTGTGTTACTGTCCTGGATGCCTTGAAATGCTCTACTTTATGTTAGCTAATGAACACAGCATTATCACTCTGACACTACTATGAGCCCATTATCTAGGGTAATGAGGGGGCAGTGTGTCTTTCATAAATGGAATAATGGAATTACTTAACCACTGTCATATTTTGACAATTTATTGGAGCTAATGGCTCAGTGCAAACAAATAAGGACATTCCAAGCCTTCTTTGAATATCTTAAGTGCTTCTTACTTCTGTTGTGTTTTTAATGATGTTTTTCATTATAGAAGCGTGCAGAAATTCCTGTATTATATTTGTTCAGTGTTTTTATAGAACTAGAATTGAAATTCCAGTTGTTGGAGAGAAAGACAGCAATTCATTTTAAGCTGCTTGAGTAAGTGTTACAGTGTTGGAGGATGGGGAGAAGGAAAGAACTRAGGGAAATCTTAATGTAGAAGTGAAAATGGACAAGTGAACGATGATCTCAGAAGGGTTTTTTTGACTTTACTCTTTCTGTTGTATTCTGCTAGGACAAGGATTCATCCATTTACTAAGATGGTATTCTTTTTTCTAACTCGAATGTTTATTTTATTGCAGAAAACAAGGCAGTTGGAGTCATGAAGCCAGGTCATGTATTTACAATTGAACCAATGATCTGTGAAGGTRAGCAATTTAGCAGTAGAATAAGRTGGTTACTTGTTTGCTCTTAACTAGTGATGGAACCGAATGCTGGTTCTGTTCTGTGGAGCTGACASATTTTTCATTTCTCTTTAGAGAGCTGATACCTGTTACTTAAAAACTGGCACGAAGTCCCGTTTTCTGTTTTCAGGGGGTTGGCAGGACGAGACCTGGCCCGACGGTTGGACTGCAGTAACGAGGGACGGGAAGCGCTCGGCGCAGTTTGAGCACACGCTGCTGGTCACRGACACAGGCTGCGAGATCCTAACCCGGCGCCTGGACAGCATTCGCCCCCACTTCATGACCCAGTGATAGCCCACACTCAGCAGGTGCATCCGAACGATAAATATATCTATTTTTTGCCCCCGTACTATGCATTTTTTTAAGARTACAGAATAGAAAGGTTTCACCATTTACTTTGTTCTCAGTGATTGTAGATAAGAGGAATATCTCGAAGAACCTGACCCAGTGTCTGCAAAAGCGAAGAATTTAAAGAATTTCCTGCTTTCCTCCTACCTACAACACTCACRCTGTACTTTCCTTTTTTCTTCAATTATCTCTTTAGCACCTTTCTTCCAATTAAACCCACAATTGCTTCTGTTGCTGCCATGATATTAGCTAGAAAAGCGTGGGTAAGCTTTCCCACTGGGACTTGATATTTTGGGATCCAGGTTTTTTTCACCATTTCAGTGTGTCCTGTCACTCTTGGTTTGTGAGTGGCACTTGAGATTTCAAGCATTTCTTATTCCAAAGACTTGCTCCTGCTTYGGCAGATACTGTTCTGGGCCTTGTTTGTTTATCAGTTGAGAAGGGGGMAGAAGGGAGAACATGCACATACAAAAGCAGGCTACCATTAATTCTGCCCCCATGTCTGCATTGGTGACTTCTGTGGCGATTGCCACTGTGGGTGGCRCACTGTGTTAATGGCAGGACTTGTTTCTCTTGCTGGAGATTTGATAGTAGGGCTTACAAAGTCTGTCTTAAATGCAGCTCCCTGAAATAAACTGCCTGTTGGTGAAGCAGTACTTGCAGGCAGCCTCCTGCTCCAAGAGCTTGGTGAAGCTGATATATCAGACTTGCCTAGGTAAAGGAATGAACCAAGAACCAAAAAGATCCCACGATTCATGGGATCCCTATGTGTGTTAGTGGTGGAACATTCTTTAAAAGTACATCCACAGTAGCTGTGGGGGATTGGATTTGCAAGATTTACAGTGAAGTATCTCAAAACAAGTCTGAGTGTGTGAAAATGAAATATGTTCAATGCTGTATTCATTTTCTTTTGATGATTTTTAAACGGGTCATTATTTTCCCCCTCAATTGAGCGGGAAAGCTTCAGGCTTTTGGAAAGTCTTAGGGGGGCAGCTATGAGAATTGAACCTTTTCTCCTCAGACGGGGTATAGAGTGGGCAATGTTAGTATATATACCCCCTTATATTCTGTTAATGGGTCATGGCGAGCTGAAAACTGTTATGTTAAGGAGTGTGGATTGATTAAGCCTCTCTTCTCTCTAGCCTTTCTTTTTCCAATGCCCACTTCCCTTCCATCATCTTTGGTGTCTCTGCTGAGGGAATTTATTTTTTCTTCTGAATTGTAATGAAAAATTTTTCAGACCCCATTGTAGACTTCATCTTACACCACGGTAACGCAAGAAATACTTAAAACCAACACAGACATTAAATCATACAATCATGGGCATAAAATACACCTCGTGAAAGATGTCTGGTGAATTTGTTGCCACAGACCCAAGAATATGAAGTGCTGCATACCCTTAGCTTCCCTTGGCACTGCAGAATTTAGGTGAGGGAAAGGGGTTAAAGCTTCATAGAATTGGATTCRTCTACTCCCAAATTTGCCAGAAAATGTCCTCTCTGCCCTGAGTGCCTCAGACCTCTGTTGCTGTAAGAGTATCACTGCAATGTTTTCATTACCTTTATTCTTATTTTTAATTATGCAGTAAAGTGACCTGAAATGATGCACAGAGAGTGTGTGTGCGTGTGTATGCATGTGTGCTTAGAGATTTTTAACCAAACAGACTGTAGTACTTGAGTGGGATTACCTGTGCAGAATGAGATGTGTTGAAGAGATGCCTGTCCTGGAGGTTTGCCCACCATATCCTTCACTTGAATGGTTACAACAGTCTTGCCTTTTCTATCTGTGTGCGTATGATGTGGGGGGTGGGTGGCTTCATTTTTGGTCTATAAAATAAAAGTTGCAGCTGCTTTTAACAGAAATAACTTTTTTTTTCTTGTAATCCAAACCCAGATGTAGAATTTCAATTACATCCAGGTTTGCTTGCACAAGTGCAAGCCCCACTTGGTAGATGCAAGCACCCAGTTAGAACTCACCTTAAACCCATCCATGTACCACTTGGATACCTCTTTGTTGTTGTACTGATACCACCAAATTTAGCACATTTTTAATACAGGTAATCTATGATGCTATGCATTGCTGCCTATAAATTGAAATCACACCATGATAACTGTTTACAGTGAATTCATACTACTGCAGTATTTTTAAATGAGTGGAAAGCRTAGTATCTGCACCACATCTTTCAACAGGAAGAGGGTACATCAGCCTCAAGAACAAAACTTATTAAATAAAAATACTGTGAAAAGCTGTTTTTTCATCTATCTAGCTGTCTTTGCTTCAACATGACATACTAGACTTGTGCTGACTGGATTGTGGAAATTCATTATTRTTGATTCTTATTCAAGTTGCTATCCACTTAAATAAAAATCCCAACTTAAATCTACTTTTTAAATGACATATTTAGCAATTGCAKACACTTACCAAAAACCACAATTCTRAAGTTAGATCAGAAACAAYCTCTTAATGCATTTTCCCTTTACTATCACATAAGACAGTGCAGAGTGTCTTTATGCTSTTTTTGTAACTTGAATATTTAAAGAGAGAAGATTTGGTAGATTATGTTGAATAACAGTAAGAGCAGGAGGAGAGGCCCAGCCTGCATATTTCCTTGACAGCCAGCAGCGTACATGCACATTTCATATACYGTCATTTGGTGAGAAGCTTTTGTCCATTGAAGTTCTTACCACTGTCAGGATGGTGCAGTTCAATACACTATCTTGATGACCAAAAATGGGGTAGAAGCTCTTGGTTTTGAGTCCTTTTGTTTGCTGAACAACTTCCAAAAAACCCTATTTCCAACATGCTCCATTCAATCAAATGCTTTGCAGGACTAAGTAGAGTCTGGGACATCAACTCCTCAGGCTGGGAAGAAGCTGCAAGTCTTTGACCCAAATGCTCTGGTATCATCACTACATGCCTTTGTTGTTGGTATTACAGACTGGCTTCCCACAAAAACTCTGAGATRCAGATTCTCTAAAGTAATAAAATAATGCAGACAAGACTGTGTCTGCATAGAGGAACAGCTGTTCCAGTGTAAGTATTTTAAATCTGTTAGATGCAGCTGGGGGATAGTTTGCCAGTTGCTGAGATAGCATTGTATTGAGACCATCTTGTAATTACAGAGTACTCTCACTGGAACAGCTTAACAGCAAGTTTTCTACTGAGTTTTCTCTTCTCTTCCTGGAGSTACAAGGTACTGAGAATCACTGCTGGGCTAGGGAGCTCATTTTCTTGGTACAAAATCCTTTTTTATTTCTTCCTGATGTTCAAAATTGAATTCTTATGACATTCACGTTTGTTATTTACTGTCTGAAATAAGTTAGAAATGCAGTTTCTCAACTAKAGGGGATATATTTTTAATGACAGATGGAAAGGATATGATTTTCCTAGTTGTATAGCAGTGGCATGCGGTAATTGGTGMTGATGAGAGGGAATTTCTTCTAATATGATTACTGTTTGTGTTCAGTGTTCTCTGTAACCACGGTTCTTTAAAAATGAAACTTCTCACTTAATCAGTGTCCTTGGTTCACAGAAAAACACTGAGTTTTTATGTATCTAACTTTTTTTTAACTGGATAGTCTTTCTGCCTCTGCTTTGCAATCTGTTTTCTGCTGTTTCTTTGTGTTTTTCTGGATGTGAGGCACTGATTCCAGGTTTTAATACAAAAAGAAACTTTTTTCAGTCAGATCATTTTACCAAGAGCTAAGAAAACCTACAAAGTCTCCAAAATTGAGACTTAACCCCTCCCCCTCCAACAAAAAAATCTCCAAAAATCCTGAAGCCATCATCACACAAAGCTCTTTCTTGTTCCCATGCACCCCTCAAGAGCAGACATGCTCTAAGAGTAGATTTCCTGCTTCAGTGGCATAATCATGTTTCTGACTAGAGGTAACAATTCCACACTGTTTTTGCAGTGTTGGCTGCAATGTTTGTCAGTAAGTTTAAGGAAATGGGAAAACAGTTCTACTGAAGTCTTGAAGACATYACTAGAGAAGTGAGTAGAGGAGCTTGTGCCATGATCTTTAAAAGAGGCCTGCTGGTGACACAGATAGGAAATAAGGCAGAAGATGGATCATCTCAATGAGTAACCCATGGGTAGCTCTAGACACTGAAGTCTCTGCTCTACACTTGGCTTCAAGGTTGAGCTGAATGCTACAAGCCACTGTAATCCTMGAATAGCCTCAGAAACCTGACAAGTTCAGGCCACTCTCAGCACAGTTGCAGCAAATGGATGCTGCTTCTCACTCCAGCCATGTTTAGGCTGTRCCTTGTGCAGTGAATCCCTCATTTGCTTTTGACTCTGCAGAACACTTCCTCTGTCACATAGACACTGTAACATCACTAGAGGAAAAACAAKTAAGAAGCAGCAGTCACAGTCCCACTCTTACTGCTCAATAATTCCAACACTCGGTTTAGAAATAAGCTTTTATTAAGTAGACTGAGTTAGCCACTACTGAATTTGAAGAATAGGTATAGAAACAGAAGTTCCATAATCAGGACTAATTCTGTAATGTTATTCAGTGATTAACAGTTTTTCATTATTTAAGGCTCAGAACGCTCACCCTAAATACATGGTCTTCCTAGTCCCAGTGAGTTTTCAGTTGCTTGATTCTATCTTCTATCAAAAAATCCATTACAAAAAGGCAGTTACCATGTTGCTGGCCAATTACAGGTCCACATTTGGCTCTTAAAATTTCAGGACAGTTCGAATGCTTAAAATAGACAAGAAAAAGAAATTACCAATAAGTCAATTTTCTCCCCTCCCTTTCATTGCTGAGACATATTTTAACTTCTATCTTTTGCAAGAATGAAGTTATGCTTATGCCTATAATATTTATTAAAAACCCAAGACAGTGCTTGTTACCTTGGGTTTTTTTTTATTCTCTCCTCCAGTAAAATAAACTCYAAATGGATGCTTTTTCAAACTAGGTGTCAGTTTTCAGGAGCTAACCAAGATTGATTTGGAGCAGTAATATTTACAAGCTTAAATATTTACTTTTATTTGTTTGGAAAATGTTAGGTACCTTTCATTRTTAGTTTCCTAGGACATGCTCATGTATGAATAAAGCACTGAAATTATACTGAAGTTTATAACTGGGACAGGAGATCAACTGCCGGATGAAATTTGCATAAATGCAGTTACAGTCAACTGGTTTATCCAAAATAGAATCCATATGAGTTCAAGTAGACRAAGTTAGTATTTTGGAGAAAGTTATATACAATAGACAGATATAGATTGAGATCAAAGACCATKCTGGTTTCTGGAGATATTGCTAATGACTATTTATTCATCTGCAGATGAACCTAAACATGGATAAACATAGTTGCCTACATTAGTTCAAATACATCCCCTGATGAGAATACCCTACTTTGCACTGCTTTTGCAGTTGATCAGTATTTGCAAAGTACACTGATAAGTGCAGCAAAGCTCATCATACATCCAGCAGCATTTTTTAACTAGCAATAGGTCACATCAATGAGTTGGGGCCTCACTAGGAAGTTTGAGAGCAGTGGCCCAAGTCTGCAGTATCRACAGTCTGCCACTAATCTTAATAAAAGGCAAGAACTGCTCTACATGAAGAACACAAACCCATCATATGAACCTTCTGCCCCAGTTCAAACTAGAGAGAGAAAAAMAATGTAAAATACAGCACATTAACAGATCATGCCAAGTGACTGACTGTGCTGGCTATCTAATCTAAATAATATGAAAATATACCAAAATCAACTGTTTAATTAAATAGACTAATAGCTTAACGAGTTGTCAAAATGTATTAATGTGAACTCTCCGTCAGTCTTTTTACATTCCTTTTTATGAGGAACAATGTTTTAGCAATACAGAAAGCCTGAGACTGACATATCCCCTTTATCTTCCGTATTTTTTTTACGCTTTTGCTTGCTTTTCACGGTGTGCCTGTGTTTTGACACATGCCTGGAAGCTCAGAAAAATGTCTTTATATCATAATAAATGCATGTGGTGCACGTCACCCTTTAGCCTCCCTGTTTGAAACAGGACAGCAGCCAGGGAACCTGAATTTTGGCAGTCTCATCAAGAAATATCTTCTGTACCTTTCAATATTGTGAACATTACCTTTTTCCTGAATGCATCAGCTCAAAAGCCTCATTAATTTTGTCAAAAGGCAGCGTGTGAGTCACAAATTCATCAACCTTGATCTTTTTGGACATGTATTCAGTCACCAATTTGGGCACATTGTCTACGCTCTTCCAGCCTGAAAGAAAGAAAACATGCCTTGTTTTTTCCCTTTCCCACCCATCTCAGAAAGTTAAAAATGCAACCTTTGCAACAGGCACTTGTGTGAAAAGGAGCTGAGATGARTGATGTGTTTGTCCCTCCCACCCTAGGGAGGTCTGGCAAAAGCACRCATTATCCAAACACAAGTGCACAAAACTTTCAATAGCTGTTCCARCATTCAACAGGAGTCCTCATTTAGCAAAGGCATCTGTCAGGCCCCCTACTTATCTTTAGAACCCAACCCAGTAAGTTTTGTATTGCTTGGAAAAGAGCAGTGTAATAATTCAAAGTTAGACCATTTCCATGAACTTCAGCAATTACTGAATTCCCCCCAAAAAGGACYAAATGCGTTTCTGGGTTGACAGCACAGAATGTGTATCAAACAGTTGTTACTTTTTATTTTAAAGGTCTTTATAGCACATTGTCATGTTGGCCCCACAATTTGCTCAGTGGTTAAGCAACACAAACATACTGATGTGACTTCCCATCTCCCCAAAGACCAGGTCCTTTCACTGGACCAAACTGCACCAAACCTTCACTTGGTGATAAAGCAGTCTCCCTATACCACTCCTTTAGCACTGAATAGCATGTAGATAC